GCTCGGGGCCTAGCACGGCCCGTTGGGGACCTGGGTGGCGCGCGACCCGCTCTCCCGCCAGGGTCGGGATGGCACGGCTGTGGGCCGGGGACGGGGGGACGGAGAGACAGGGCCGGTGCCCCGGCGCCGACAGCACCGACGGGGTCTGGAGGCGGGAGGGACCCGCTGCCGGCTGAGACGGGCCCCCTCCGGCCTCCACGGAAGGGGGCATGACGGGGCGAAAGTGCCTGGGCCTTCCCGTCCCGCGTGCACAGGAGACTCAGGGCACTGGGAGGCTTGAGCGGCTTGGCGAGGGGGCCTGGGCAAGCCCAGCCCCACCCCGAGGGCTTAACCTGTCCTTGCTGGAGGAGGAAGCCCCGGCCCTGTTGACGGGGAGGGGAGGGGACCCCTGGGAGTGGAGGAGTCGGCTGAGGCCCTTGGCTGCCGCCTAGACTCCTCCTCCCCGAACCTCTCCCGGACCTGCGGGGTCTAGCTGGGGATCCAGGAAGGATGGCATCGTAAAGGGAGTTTGGAGTCTCCGCCTGGCCCAGAAGTTGCAGGAGGAGGTGGTCCCGACCAGACTGGGTGGGTTGCAGGGGCACTGCAGTGCTAGAGACCTGGGAGAGAGTGGCTCTGAGGGCTTTGGGTAGGCGATTGTGATAAAGTCTTCCAGTGCCAGGGTAGTGGTGGGGAAGGAGTTAAATCTCTCTCAAAAGAAAGGGGAAGATGAGCTCTATGGGTGTGTGAGCGGAGTCTGCAGTAATGGCTGCGGCCTGCTTTTCACAGCCAGGCTGGACTGGTCTTGTGGGGCCAAAGAAGACTTGGGACCAGGGCTGTGGTTGTCCAGGGACTCGGACCCAGTCCCAAAGCTGGGGTTTCTGAGAACCGTGAGTTGGCCAGATACTGGCCAAAAATGCTGGTGAGAGTGGTCAGCAAAGCAATGTGGCCTGCCAGCCTAGGTACTGCCAGGAAGAGGGGCCTCCCTGACAGCTCTCAGCATCCCCGTAGGCAGCATTCCCGGGAGGGGATGCCATTATGTTGGGCCGGAGGCAGGAGGCAGAGAGAGGGCTGGAGGGGCCGATACCCCGTGGTCACATGATTACTTACTGGGTTCCCGTCCTAAACATGCTCTGTAAGCCACCTCTGTCCCTTCCTCCACCTGGTGTCTCCTGGCTCCTCATCTGATAGGGCAGGGTCTTCAGGCCGGTTCCGGGGTTTGGGGCATGATGATTCTCTGAGCTATCATGCACCCCTGGACTCCTGTCTGCCCAGGCTCTGCTCCTAGGGTCAGAGACCCCCTAGTTAGACTTGACATTGACACTGGCTGTTGGGCTCCCAGACTAGGAGCACAACACCTGGACTCTGACCTGGCTTTGCAGGCCTAGGTTTCTTGGCTTCTAGGCATTTAGGTCTGGGAAATGTCTCTGGGGTCAGGCCGAGAAACAAGCTGCTGTGGCTCAGCCTAGATGTCACCCCTGTTCCCAGGGAAGCACTCCTCATGGAGCGTTATCAAAGCTATGCTCCTGGTCAGGGATTTTCAAGTACACTGGTAGGTTTGGTTTCCGGGTGTGGAGGCCAACCTTTGACAGGAGGCCTCCAGACCAGCATCATATCCAGAAAGCAGGAGGCTATGGCAGGTCAGGAACAGAACCCCAGAGTCCCAAATTCCACTGCCAGTGTCTAGGGTTTCTGTGATGTACAGGGAAAGTTCCCCCTCCCCAGCCTGTGTGTCCCCCTTTTTGATATTAAATTTGCCATTTCAGCTGGTACATACTAAAACAGCATGTTAAATTTCCCTTTTTAAAAGAGGCTTCCCAAGAAAAACTACCCCTTGTGTGCTGTGTTTGGAATTCCAGCGCTCGGGTAACTCCAGTGTTCTCAGATCCTCCAGGGCTACTGCACTGGCATTTCTGCCCACCCCACGTAAAATCACAGCAGAGTGTCTCCCAGAAAGAAACGAAGAGTCAGGACCCCCGGGCTCTGTTCCCATGCCCACCACTGACTTTCTGAATCACCTTTGCCTGTTCATTTGGCCTCTGTTTGTCTCAGCTTTTTCCCCATTGGCTTTCTTCTACTCCCTCCATGAGGTCTGGCTGTAAATAGAAATTGAGTTTAGTGTGTCTAGCTGCTCAGCAGGTTCATGTGAGCTGGAAAGAAGTTATACAGAGATTTTACAATGCTCCAAAGAACCTAAAACTGATCCTCAAACTGTTCTGGAAAAGTTGTAATGCTGGAGAAGTGGGACATGTTTTGCCCAAGGGAAACAAGATGGTCATTTAAAAATATTTAGAAGACTGTCCTATGGAAAAACTCGTCTTGGGGTGCCTAGTGTCTCATAGGAGCAAGGGGTAGATGTTATAGGAAGGTGGATTTTTGAGCCATTATAAAGAACTTTCTGATAGTTGGAGCTGACCAAGGAGGAAATGGGCCAGAGGGGATTCAAGTCAGTGACGAGAGTATGGACTTCATGACTTAAAGTTACTTCTGACCTTAAATGTGGAGCTTGTGAGACAGGGAGGCATTAGCAGGGAACTCGAATTGAAACCTGATTCAGTCTCCGCTGCAATTCACAGCTGAACAGGAACTACTGGTGCAGGGGAGCCCTGCCGCCTGAAGGTTCTCGCAGCACTCCCCTGTGCCAAGGCCACATTCTGCCAGCACTCCCCTGTGCCAAGGCCACATTCTGCCAGTCGAGGCTTCTCATTTATTGGGAGCCTGTGGATCTTCCAGTTACCAAAGAACAATGATGGTTCCCCAGCTGTGTCGAAACCATCTCCAAGCACTTTGTGAGCCTTATTTGTAATTCCTAAGAGACTAAAACACTTCTCCCCCATTTTACAGTAGGAAACCCTGAGGCCCAGAGAGGTTAAAGTGTCTGGTCCAAGCTCCCCCCGGATGAGTGATAAACAAGAACTGGGTTTCCTTCCTCAGTCTTGAGGTTCTTCATCAGCCTGGATGGCGATGGGGTGGACTTCGGCCCAGTAGGTGCTGCCACACTGACACCCCAGCGCTCTGCTGGCATTTGGTTAGTTACACCACGCTTGCTTCTCCCTACTTAGCCAGAAGGGAAGCAGTCCTCATTGAGGGCAATCCCTCTTCCTCAGTGATTCTTAACTCTTGGGGGCTTTTGGACCCTTTCAATGTCTGAGAAAATTTATAGACCCTTTCCCCAGAAAAGTGTACATATAAACAAAACTTTGCACACACGGATTGTGTGCAATTTCAGGGGGCTCAAAAATCTCTGAAGCCCAACTGTGGACCCCAGTTTAGGAACCCTTGATCTACCTTGTCATTGGGCATCAGGCACGGGTGCTCAGTTTTCACATCATCTTAGGGCCTTGGTGAATGGGTAATTCCCGCAGATAAAAGGGAACCGATACACTCTCGTTCAGATGGGACCTCAGGGGTCTTCATTCAGACTTGCAGGCACTGAATAAGAAGCTATCATCTTCTTGGATAATGTTCTGAGCCCCTGACCTGTTTATGTGACCCGAGGCAAATTATTTCTCCTGGTAGGAGAAAAGGGCGTGGCAGAGGAACAGGTCACCATCAGGTTCAAGGTTAAGTGAGCCCCATCTTCAGCCTGCTTCTGTGAACATGGAGGTGACCTGGAGGGGAATTGGGTTTGGCTTTATTTGAACAATCCAGAGATCTTAGAGATAATTTAGAAGAGAGAATTAAGAATTTACAAATGGGTTATGAGAAATGAAATTATAGTCAATTCCCAAGTATTTAGCAAACATTTACCAATGCTGTTACCATAGACCTGGCTCCTCTCTCCAGGAAGTTTTCAGTCTAATGAGGAGACACATAAGTAAACTGATAATAGAGTGAAGATTATCCACCCTAACATGGAGTACAGTATAAATAAACCAAATCCATGGATAATCTAGAAATTACTTGGCATGCATTGCATTTTCGGGGGTGACCAATTTACTTTCCCCCCAAAAAAGTTTGACTTGAATATTAGTAACTAGTTTGAAAATATGTCTGCTTTCCTTGAGATTTCCCTTGCCTGTTGGACCATGACCCATTCAGGGTTCTTTTCCTGGGAGATAATTTATTCTTCCTCTCCATGGGGGACTAAAGGAGGTAAAGGAGCTTCAATCACAATAGAGAGATGTAGGTTAGACCTTAGGAAGAATTTTCTCCCAGTCTAGGTTGAAAGACTTTGAGACTGCCTGATGAAGACGAGCCTCTTCACAGGACATCTCCAGGTGTGGGGTGGAATCTGGGTTGTTTACTCCCTGTCCTGTCTGAAAGCAAGAGACATTCAAGAAATGGCCCTTGTGATGTCCCCCACCCCCTGTGGGAAGTCTGAGGAACTCTGTCCTGACATCTATGTTATTTTCACAGCCTCTTAGCCTGTGGCTGTCAGGGAGGGCGCGTCTGGGTCCCGTCGATTTTTGCACCTTTTCCAATTCTGACTCTTCCTTCCAGTCCGGACAGTTCAATGAGGACATGATCCCCACCGTGGGTTTCAACATGCGCAAAATCACCAAAGGGAATGTGACCATCAAGGTGAGGGGCGGGAGCCTGAAACTATAGGCACAAGCCAGGGGGCTGCAGTGCACCAAATGTGTGTTAGGAAGGGCAACTGAGGCCCCTGGGAGGAGCCAGCCAAAGGACAGCAGAGGCTGGACTCCGATTGCTGGGGAGCTGGGACAAGAGAGCGGAAGACTTCTGAGGTAGTCAGAGGGATGCAGGGAAAGTTGAGGAGGACTTGGAGAGAAAACGGGGGAGGGAAAGGGGACTAGGGCAGAATTGGAGGGGTACTTGGGACTAACATGGGTTTTGGTTGCCTGCCTGCTACTGAGGCCATCTCACCTTCTTCTTGCTCAGCTCTGGGACATTGGGGGACAGCCCCGTTTCCGCAGCATGTGGGAGCGCTACTGCCGAGGAGTGAGTGCCATCGTGTGAGTACTCTTGAGCCTTACCTGGCATCTCCCAGCCCCACTGCCTGCAAGGACCTCAGAGGCACAGAACTGGATTAGATGGAATCTCCGTTCATGATACACTGTCCGTGCACAAGCTGCCTTTATTTTGCTTGCTGCTTGTTTCTTGTCGGATAAATGCTCTGGGTATCTGCCGCCCAGTCTAAGAACCAGAGCATCAGCAAACCAGATGTACCTGTGCATTCCTCCTTGCTCTCGCCCTGCCCTCCCACCCCAAAGACACCACTGGTGTGAATTGTGCGTGGTTTAAATGATTCACCCCTTGCTTTTTAAAAATAATTTTATTCTACATATATGTGTCTAAACAATAGATTGTTAGTTTTCCTGATGGCATAAATAGTAGATTGTCTTTTAACCTGATTTTTAAAAGTATCTTCCTTCCGGCCAGCCATCAAAAAATAAAAAAAGTATCTTACTGAAAGAAAATCTTCTGGGGTTTCTACTGTTCACTAACCTTATCTAGTCTTTCTGTGAAACATAAGTGGGTCACTTTGGGAGGGACTCACGGCTAATCCTAAAGGGCCCAGGCTTTGCCACTTGAGTAACAACTTCCCCAGAGTAGGGCTTTGGAGGACAGAGTAACGGCGGCCCCAGGAGTCCCTGCGGCTTTTCACTCCTATGGATTCAGGAAACATTCATGAGCACCTGCCTGGAACCAGGCCCAGCTAGCCCATAGATCCTGAGGTGACCACACTGGAACAAGACATTTTCTCCTCCAGGCAGCCGCTCCTTCTCTTCCTTCCTACCTCTCCTCCTGTGGTGTCACCTTGCTTGTCCCTACCCTGCCTTTTTTCCCCAGATACATGGTGGATGCTGCTGACCAGGAGAAAATTGAGGCCTCCAAGAATGAGCTCCACAACCTACTGGACAAACCTCAGCTGCAGGGCATCCCGGTCAGTGAACTGGATGGAACGGGAGGGGAAGGGATCTCAGCGGGGAAGTCAATGGGGGCAGGCCTGGAGGCATTGTAAGGAGGAGAGAGGGAATGGGGGACTTGGGAAGCCAGCTCACTACCCAGACAGCCTATGCACAGCTGTCCTAGACCTAATCCTTGTCCTCCCTTCTTTGTAGGTCTTAGTCCTGGGTAACAAGCGAGACCTCCCAGGAGCCCTGGATGAGAAGGAGCTGATTGAGAAAATGTGAGTTTGGTGGCCCTTTATACTTCCTACTCCCCAAAGTCCCCTGCCACCAGTCCTGGAGTCTGGGCTTGTTGCTGTTCTCAGTGTTTGCCACAGGGTGGCAGCAGAGTCCACCTTTCCAGGAACCTCACGGTCCCCATTGTATCCCCTTGAGCAAGAAAAAGACCCAGGCCCCTTGGACAGTCAGTCCTAGCCTCAGCAGACTCTACTCTGGTTTCCCCCCAGGAATCTGTCTGCCATCCAAGACCGAGAGATCTGCTGCTACTCCATCTCCTGCAAAGAAAAGGACAACATTGGTGCGTGGGTTTGGGGGAGTTGCTGGCATTCCGGGAAGTAGCCGCAGGGACTGCAGAGGAGGGGAGAGACATTTCTGGGTGTTACAGCATAGTGATCTCAAAGGTTCTCACTTCACAGCTTTTCTTTAAGCCCCAAGCTCTATGGTTCTTGGGTAGAACAGGCAGCCAGGGAGCCCGGATTCTGAGCACTATCCCGCTCTACTTCAGCTGGTTGTGTGATTTTGGGCGAATCACTCCCTCTCGGACTCACATCCTCCCCTCTAAAATCACAGGGTTGGACCAGGTGATTCTCAGGCCCCTTCTGGCTCTGACGTGCTGTGGCTCTGTCTCTCTCACGGTACCCACATTCCCCTACCAGCCGCTTGGGGTTGTTTGGAGCTTTACAGCTGTGGACTTTTGCCACCCTTAGGCTTGACCTCTGGCTGCACTTTGGGAAACCTTAGGCTTACGGCCACTCTCCCAGCTGTCTTCTCTGCCGCCCCAGCATGCCCAGCACTTGAAGGCCTTAAAACCTTCTCTCTTGTCCCCCACTCAGATATCACCCTACAGTGGCTTATTCAACACTCAAAGTCACGGAGAAGCTGAGACTGTGGCCCTTCACCCTTGGACCAGGGACCGTCCTCATCTAAACCTGAAGCCGAGCTCCCCACCTGCCCCTGTTGCCCCCTCCCCCCAAGCCCACCCCTCCTCACTTGGTGTGAGGAGGGGCCTCTGGGGATCCCAGAGTCCTATTCTGCTGAGGTTTGAACTCCTGTTTTTATTGTAAAATAAATTGCCCCCCATTCTGGTCCCCTAACCTGTCACCCTCCCCTCTCCCTTTGTCCCTTCACCCAGCCCTGCTTCCCTCCCCTCAACAGCCCCAGCCCCGCAGCGCTGCTCTCCCCTGTCCCACTCCTATACTTCCCTTTCCAACACTCTGTTATTGTCCTGTGTGTACAGTATATATATGTATATATATTTTAATTTTTTAATTTAAGCAAAGACTAAAATCAACCATTTGATGCTGCAGGGGCCATTCAGGATCTGGGAGGGGGGTGGTCTGGGAGAAGGAAAGAGATGCAAGGTTGGCTTGGGGCAAATTCAGATGAGGAAGGTGGAGGCCATCACTTGGGGCAGGTCCTGGTGGCCGCCCCCATGTCCTGTGTGTGTGTTTCCACCTCCCGATCTGGCTCATCCCTGCAGGGCTTCAATGCCACAGGCTGATGGAAGCCCCCGGAGGCACCTCCTCTCTGCCCCCAGCCTTGGTAGGGCCACCAGGCACAATGGGGTGCCAGAGACCACCAGGCCGAGGGGCAGGAATCCAGCGTCCATGCCACCCCAGCAGTCCCCTCCTGCCTGTTCCTGACTCCAGTTCCTGCCCCTCCCCAGGGCCCCGACCTCCATGGCCCACCTCACTTTCTGTTCTCATTTTGCCGAGTTGCACAAGGAGAGAACTCAGCATGGGGGGTTGGTTCTTTGGGTTTTGGTTTTTTTTGTTTATTTGTTTAATTTAATGATTTGTAAAGTGATGTTCCTCTTCCTTTTTTTACACTTTTCAGCTCCTACTTAACCTCTGTTTGGAAAATGATTCTTGTAACTACATTTTTTTGCCTCCTAATAACAATGACAACAACAGCAAAAATAAATGACCAATTTTGTGTTGGGGGGGTGTGTGGTGCCGGTTATTTTCCTGCGGGGACAGCAGCTCGCCCCCAGAGAGGGAGGCACGTGCTCAGGCCGGGAGCACAATGGCGCTTTACAGAACAGTCCCCCACACGTGTGTCTGGGCCCTTGCATTGCCCCCTTCTCATTCTCTCTTCAGACTTCCACGTGGTCCCAGCCTTGAGCTGGCAGCTGCCAAGTGGAGCTAAGGGGATCTGCTGAAGAAACCACCCAAGACCTCGGTCGTAGTGGCAGGGGACAGGGGCTGGATGCTGGTTTGTGCTCAGATTGAGCTTCTATTTCTTTATAGCCAGTTCAGTCCTCAGCTCCTCTTTCGACCAGACCCAGGACCTCACCTGCACAGCACTGGGCCAGAACCAGAACGCTGTCCCCTCCACCTCCCTGCCAGTTCCTTCCCTGGATGCAGTTCATTGTCCTCCAGGGGTGGCACTGGGCCTGTGGGGCCTGGTGGCTTCGCTTCGTTTGCTGCCTCTTGGTGTTGATACTGCTGGCTTCCTGGGGGCGGGGGGCCCTCCCTTCACTCCTCTGACCGATTCAAGTGCTCCCCGACCCTGCCCATCAGAGCTCATCCCCCTCTGCATTGCCCACAGCTGCTGCCTAGAGCCTCGCGGGCCCTGCTTGCTCAAATCCGAGGCCATCTTGACCCAGTTTTGCAGTAAGCCCCACCTCCACCCCACAATCCACCCGCCTCCCCCAGCTTCCCCTTCACCCTGAAAAATGGAGCAGGCCCCTGCAGAGCACCTCTTCGCTCCTCACCCTTCATTGGTGCCCAGGGCTTCCTCCTGAAGGCACTTTCATCCGCGCTGTCACAGAAAAGCGCCCTGCCTGGAGGGGCAGCTCCTCACTGCCAAAAGAGATAGGAAGATTGCAGGTAGAATCTGGCAACTGCTGCTCCATGACCAGGGTGCTTTCCAGGCTCTGTCTCCCGCCCTCTCCTGGCTGCAAGGGAGGCTGCATTAGCCGCTGGCCTGGGAGCTGGGGAAGCACCAACCGTGCCATTCATCTGGGGATGTTTCAGGGCTGAGCTGCCTTTCCCAGGTCCTATCATCCTCCAGAGAGGGGCAAGGTTTGAGATAAGATGAGCTGGTTACCAGTAAACAAACACCATCCTTCCACAGTGCCTGCCTCTGGGTCCCACCGGGCTTACCTAGAACATCCGTTATGGGACCCCAGGAATGGTTACCAGAGGCCCAGGGATGGTGGGGACAGGGCTCTTCTTTTTTTTTTTTTTTTTTAAAAAAGATGACCGGTAAGAGGATCTTAACCCTTGACTTGGTGTTGTCAGTACCACACTCACCCAGTGAGCTAACTGGCCATCCCTATATGGGATCCGAACCCGGGGCCTTGGTGTTATCAGCACCACACTCTCCCGAGTGAGCCACGGGCCGGCCCATTATTATTATTTTTTAAAAGATGACTGGTAAGGGGACCTTAACCCTTGGCTTGGTGTTGTCAGCAATTGTTTCTGATTCTAGCCAATTTATCTAAAGTTCTTAACATATGGTGTCATTACCTGGTTAACGTGTATTCCCTGAGTCCTGAATGAAGATTCATGGCTGAGAAGGTCCCAATGCAGCCACGAAGCCGCTTGTCCCGCCCTGTCTTCCATGTCTGGCCCCGGGGACAGGGCTCTTCTGAGAGCCCTGGGCTCCCTTCTCTGTCCATCCCACCCACAGCCCTTGGCCTCCGCCCACCCTGCACCCAAGCCTCCCTGCCCCCTCCTTGGGATCTTAATGAGATCCGTGCTACTGCATGCAGCAGGCCCCTAATATGACTTAAAGAACCTGTTAAAATTGAACAGGGAATAGGCCCTGAGTATATGTAAATTGTCATGTTTGGAGCCCTTTGATACCCAAACCTGGATGAGTTTATGAATACCTGGCCAAGCCTGCTCCATAGTACTAGAAAATTGAATTCAGAAGGTGGTGGGCACCATCCAGATGCTTTATACACCTTGTCTCATTTAATTACTGTCCTCTGGGAAGGAGATCATTCCCGCTTTACAGATGAGGAATCTCAGACTGAGAGGTTAAGTGACTGCATTCAGGTCCCAGGATAAATGCTGGTGCTGGGATTGGAGTGAGACAGTCACCCCAAGCAGACAGCAAGGGAGGCTGGGTGGATCATCCACCCCTGGCCCTGGCCCCCAGCCCAGCATCAGGGTCTTAGGCTGGTCTCCTGCAGGCTGTTGGGGAGGATGGGGGAGGAGTGTCGGCACCCGCTCTAGAGCATCCCAGCTCAAATCCACCGCCCACCACCATGCCAACCTTCCCTCCCCTTACCCCAAGCCTGGGACCCCTAAGCAACAAACCCCACATTGTTCCCCCAGCTGGCCCAGCCTGGAGGGACAGTGGCTCTTTCCCAAGGCCGGCTGGCCTGCTAATTCTGCAAGCCATTCACGTTGGCAGGCCTGGGAGGCGGCGGCAGTGGCAGGGCCTTGAAGCCACCATCTCTCCCCCTTCGGCTCAGAGCCGGCCAACCAGAAGGAAGGAGAGGTGGAGGGTGCCCTTTGTGGAAAGAGATCCCCCAAGCAGAATGCTGAGGTGTCCCCTCCCTGCCCCTGAGCCCTCCACCCTCAGCCTTCCCCCTGTCCTGGGCTTCACCTCAGCTCACCCGGCCTCCCTTCCTACATCCCTTAGGAAGCTGCTGTGCATCTGGGGCTGGGGGGCGGAGGTGGGGGGGAGACAGGGAACACGTGGGAGAAATAGCCCTGGTCGCTGCAGCGTGGCAAGCCCACCTTTGGCCCCTCTCCAACCTGTTCCCTTAAGTTTCTACAGAGCTGGGGGCTTCAGTCCCCGTAGCAACAGGTCTACTGAGACATGGGTGGGCGTCATCCCCAGCACAAAGGGTGTGCACATGGTAGCGCCATCACCTAGCAACGGCCTCCCTCTTTCTTGGCGGCATCACCAGGCCCCGGGGGTGGGTGCCAACGAGAGAGAACAAGGCTGTTAAGATCCCCAGGAGGGGAGGGAGGCTTGGTCCAGGGCAGCAGAGGCCAAGGGCTGTGGGTGGGTGGACAGAGGAGAAGGGAGCCCAGGGCTCTCAGAAGCCCCTTCCCCCACCATCCCTGGGCCCCTGGGACCCTTCCTGGAGCCCCACGTGGATGTTGTAGGTAGGCCTGGGGGACCCAGAGCTGGGCTTCAGGTGGGGAGGCTGGTTCTGAAGAAAGCTGGGCTGTCTGGGCAGGGGGCAGCTGGAATCCTGGGCTGAGGCATCACTTCTGGCGGATGTTGTGCCAGCTTCTCAGAGACCGACAGAATTCAGGGTGCCCTGGACCAGCAGTAGGAGCGGAAGGGTCTGTTGGGGACGTAGGACAGAGCTCTGGTGGGGAGGGGGTGTGGCGGGGGT